GACTGCTAAGGGATATTTTTAAGGAGGGTTTCTTTTTGGGAAGATGAAAATGTTCTTAAGATAGTGGAAAGGGTTACACAATCTGTGAATATACTCAAATACTCAAAGCCAAGGAATTGTACACTTTCAGTGGGTGAATTGTATGGTATGTGAATCACATCTCAATAAAGCTGTTAAAAAAATAAAAGAAAAAAATGTGCTGGCTGATCCCCACAGCTAGCAGACCTGCGCCTACAACTGAGTCCTCAGCTTCCTAAGAGCTAGTAGCTTAACAAAGTAATTAAGCAAAACAAAAGCCGATGCCGTATGAATGCATAAACCGAGTCTATAAAGACTAATGAATTGTTTAGAAGGACTTAAAAGAGAATTTCTAAAGAATACTGCCATGAAATTGTAAAAGGTTAGGAAAATACTGTAAAAATCCAAACTAATGCTTCACTCACGGTTCTGCAGTTGTTACTGAAGTTTGCTGAAGGACACAGGACCTGGAATCATAGACGGCTTCCGGAGTGCACGGATGTGGTTTACGTAAGAAGAATGAAGGGGCACTGCCCTTAGCTAATGAGCATGCATTTCTGTGTTTTAAGTTAAAACGTAGCAGCAAATCATTTCATGAATTGCTGTTTCATCTGACTTTTTGTAAACTACGATTTGACGTTATTCAGCCAGAGTATTGCATTCGAGCAGCATTTTGGATCCTGCTGCTTCCCTCCATCTCGCTCCCTCTTTTGGTTTCCCCAGCTCGGTAAGTCAGCATCACCTGAGGGGCTTGTTAAAACACTGATTGCCAGCCCCACCCCCAGAGTTCCTGATTCTCCAGGTATGGGGTGGGGGGGGGGCAGAGAACTTATGTAGGTGAGGCTGGTGCTACCAGGCAGGGATCACTTCCCTCTCACATCCTTTGAGCTCGGCTACTAACCAAAAGGTTGGCAGGTGGAGTCCACCCAGAGGCGTGTCGGAAGAAAGGCCTGGCGATCTACTTCCAAAAAATCAGCCACTGAAAACCCTATGGAGCACAGTTCTACTCTGACACACATGGGGTCACTGTGAGTCAGAACTGACAACTCCTTTAATAATACCTGTATTTTGTAGCATAGCAGGTGGTGCAGTGGTTAAAGCAATGAAAGGTCAGCGGTTCGAAACCACCAGTGGCTCCGAGGGAGAAAGATGTGGTAGTCTGCTTCTGTAGAGATTTACAGCCTTGGATACCCTATGGGGTCACTATGAGTCGGAATCAACTCGATGGCAACGGGTTTTGTTTGTGTTTGTTTTTTTTTTTAATGGTTCAAGCAAGGAGCCCTGGCGGCCCAATGGTCAAGCGCTTGGCTGCTAAGTGGTGTGAACCCACCAGCCACTCTTTGGAGAAAGACCTGTCAGTCTGCTCCTGTAAAGATTTCAGCCTAAGAAACCCTCTGGGGCAGTTCTACCCTGTCATATAGGGTCTCTATGAGTCGGAATTGACTCAAAGTACACAGTAACAACAACTACTCTGAGTCAGAGTTACAGGAACTTGTCTGAGGTCACTCAGTTAAGAAATGATAAGGCCAGGATCCAAACCTTGTTCTCTCTGACTCTGAAGCCCATACTTTGAAACTTCATTTTTTTCCCCCATCATTAAATATTTCTGTGCACTAACAAGGGAGCCTGGAGCCCTGGTGGTGTAGTGGTTAAGAGCTCGGCTGCTAACCTAAAAGGTTGGCAGTTCAAATCCACCAGCCGCTCCTTGGAAACCCTCTGGGGCCGTTCTACTCTGTCCTATAGGGTCGCTATGAGTCGGAATCAACTTGAAGGCAACGGGTTGAACAAGGGAGCCTAGAACTATACATGCTACCACATGTACTATTAAAGTTTTCATCTTAGGAAGGTGAAGCCACCTGTCCTCTTTGCCGCCTGCCACACAGAGCTGGGCCACACTTCTTTGCGGAGTCTTGCTGGTTAAGAGACAGTGTATTTATGTTGCCATCAGCATCGCCTCCAACTGTCTCCTCCCTTCTTCCAGAGCCTTTTTATTTGGAAAGGATACGCCTATCTCTAAACTTGACCGAGAAGTCGATGGACTGGTATTCTTTTCTTCACTGGATGGTCAGCTGGTGGGTCATGTTTATTTATAGTCAGCTGTTCAGCAAGATTTATCAAACACCAACTATGTGACAGGTCTCTGCCCAATTCTGAGGATACCAAAAAAAGGAGGACTCAGTCCCAGTCCTCAGGGCTGGCCCTCCAGGTAAAATAAAGCGGGAGCCGTAATGCCCTGGATGCTTGTGTACACAGTGCCAGAAGAATTGTCATTCGTTGTGTTTGTGGGAGGGGAAGATTCAAGTTAATTTTACAGAGGAAATCATGTTGAACTGAATAAGAAAAGCAGGGAACAGCATTCGAGGCCCTTGGAACAGAAGTGTGAACATGCATCATGTATGTGGGAATGGGGTTTTCCATACGGGGCCAGAGTACGGGGTGCCTTGTTGGAAGGCAGATTGAGACTGACTGTGGAGTGTTTCCACATTAACCCTGGTGGTGGAGTGGTTAGGAGCTACGGCCGCTAACCAAAAGGTCGGCAGTTCGAATCCACCACGCGCTCCTTGTAAAACCTATGGGGCAGTTCTACTCTATGAGTCTGAATTGACTCGATGGCAACGGGTTTTTTTTTTTTTTCATGCTGAGTGTGGACTTTGTCCCATAGGCCCTAGGGGGAGGAGGGCAGCGATGGTTTTTAAGCAGGGACGCACCTGTGACCACATGTGGATATTAGAAGTAGGGAGGGCAGCGGTGTTGGGGAGAGGTGGGAGGTCGGGACAAGCAGGAGCCCTGTACGCAAGAGTCAACAGCATTGGGACCCCAGGACTGTGAGGCACCCATGGGCCATTCAGTGAAAGTGACAAGCAGGCCATTGGAGACCAGGTAGGATGTCACAGCTAGAGATAAGGGTTGCCAGATTTAGCAAAGAGAAATACAGGACACCAGTTCAATTTGAATGTCAGATAAACAACAGATATTTTAGTACAGCGAAACCTGTGACAGCTGGAGCTCAAGGGACAGCCTTGTTTTTCCAGGTCTCACAAGCTTTCCGCCTTCGACAGGGTGCAGTCCTACCACTTTTCTCTCTCTCCTTTTGGTGGAAAATATTTGCGTTTTCCTTCTCTGACAGGTTTCCGCCTTACACAGGTTCTGGCTTTCACAGGTCTCACTGTACAAGTATCTCCCAGGCAATATCTGGGACAAAAAGTCATTTTTTAGTGTAAGTATGCCCCAGATATTGCCTGGGACATACTTATACTAAAAACTGATCCATTGTATATCAGACATTCAAATTGAACTGGGTGTCCTGTGGCTTATGTGACGCTCCTACTTGAGAGGTGCCAAGGTGGAGGTCGGGTAGTGGCATGGCTTGTGCCCAGCAGGGGTGACCAACTGCCCCAGTTTGCCCGGGACTGAGGGGTTTCCCATGCGAACTGGGATGAGTTGGTCACCCTAGGCTGAACAGCTGTTGGTTGAACTGAAGTTAGAGAATCTTCTGAGCCGTGTGCAGCCTCCTGGGGCCTTCACTTGGGAGCTGGTGCTGCAAGCCCTTTGGTGAATTGGAGTCCATACCCCAGACACCACTGTCTGCAGTTTGACATGGCCCTGGCTCCAGCCGTCGCCTTGACTGTGTGGAAGAATTCCACCCTTTATCGGGATTTTACTTCGGTGTGTGTTTTTTCTCTTGGAGAACATTTGCTGCTGATTTCGTTGTTTTCCATTCTGGCCGGCTGAGATGTTGTCCTGTTTTAAACGCTGTGTGACTCTTCTGCTTGGTCATCACAGGCCTGCACTTTGTTCTGACAGCTCCTTAGATGTGAGCCCAACCCCAGTGCTCTGCCAAGCAGATGTGGATGAAAATGTGCATAAGAAAAGAAGCAAGCTGGGCTTGGTGAAAGGTTTCCTCAATTTGCACAAACTCCATTGGCTCAAGAGTTCCCACACACCCCCCCATACGAACCCACAACAAACGAATGTTAAATAGGTATTTAGATGGATCAAGAAAAATTCAGTTTTGGCTATTTCTGCCATCACCATTCCAGCCCATTTCCAAAGATGCAGAAATAATCTTGAGTATTCATAGATGTTGTCCTCTTTTAAACTCTGTGTGACTCTTCTTTCTGTGCCACATGTAGCTTTCTCCTTGCTTTGTTGTCGGATCTCTTTGCTCCCAAGGAATGAGGGACTCTAACAGCCTGTTAGAGGTTCTGTCCCATTTGAGAGCATTTGCGTTTTATTTTTTCTTGTCATATATTAGCTTATTTACAAGGGACTAGAACTCACTTCAATTTCCACTCAGCCATTTGAGTCTCGTGTGTGTTTTAAAAACAGCTAATTTCAATATAACAAAGGCATCTAAGACATTAACAGAGCGTTTCCTCACTAAGCTAAGGCTACTACTGCCACTGGGTTTAAACCATACAAAAAGAAACGACAAATGAATGATTATATATATATATATATATGCATATATATATATATATCTCAATGGTGCAAACAATTAAAGCACCTGGCTGCTAATCCAAAGGCTGGAGGTTCAAGTCCACCCAGAGGCACCTCGAAAGAAAGGCCTGGCAATCTGTTTCCCAAAAATCAGCTATTGAAAACCCTAAGGAGCACAGTTCTCCTCTAACACATGTGGGGTCGCCGTGAATCAGAATCGACTTGATGGCAACTAGCACTATATGTGTGTGTATAAAATTACACATACAATTATGAATTTTGTCTGGTTGAGGTGATAGCCTGTTGTAAATTTATTTTTATTTGCACACACACAGAGCCAAATTCACTTATTTAAAAAATACTGTGAGCTCTCAATTTTCTGGACTGCCTAATTTCGATCTATTAACAGAGAGACATACCTTTCGCTACCTTTGGTGACACAGAAGTGGACCTCAGGGCCATTTGACCTGGCTTGTTTTCTAAAAGGACCGTTATGTATTACAATAAGCACATGGCAGGGAGGCGGGGGGGGGGGGTCTCATAGTCCAGGCCGTCCAGTCCAGGAAGGAGGGAGGAAAATGGCAGGCCATGGTCAATTTCAAACGCAAGCAAGCCCACGGTCAGCACCAGCAGCTGGCACAGACGGCAACTTGCGGCCCACAATCAAGTCGCATTTGCTCTGGATCTTGTTTACAGCTTCGGCTAAGGGAGGGCGGCCAGGAAGAACCAGAGGCCCGCAGGCAAATCCTCCTCGGCCCCACCTCATGGCAGAAGTGCTGAACCCCCATGTCGAAGCCTGAAGAGATTCTAACCATTCCCCCAACAAGAAACATGAGAAAGCACTTCTCGGTCTTATTATCATGGCCCCGAAGCAAATGACGCATCCAAGGCCGTCCGGCAGCTAGGAAACCGGAGCTCTGGTCCAGTAGCAAACCACTTTCTCATCCATATGGAAATCGCCTTCACTTGCAACAAGTAATTATTGTGAGTTTCTAAATGCTTCCGTATCACTGTGTTGATGCCTCCAAGGAATCTGATAATATTTTTTTACTGCCTCTGTAGTTGTATAATATTACCATTATTTATTACACATGGACTTGTAGATAGTAAATTATATGTCCAGAACGGGGTCTGAGTTCATTCACTAAATTGAATGCCAGGGAACAAAGCCTTTGCTTAAGTTTTTATTCATTATGGCACAAGATAAAACTTTAAGAAACACCACTGAAGACGGCATTGCCAACATGAAAATTAAGAATAGCATGTTTTATAAAAAAAAAAAAAAGAAAATCTTTTTTTATAATACACTTTCCCTTATGAAGTGAAAACGACTCATAAAATACTGAAGCAAATCGCCACCTGCTGGTCGTACAGTGGTTTTGCAGTTGAAAAACGTCCACGTGTATTACTGAAGTACGGTAGGAACATGTTACAATACGACGTAAGTTGACTGAAGAAAGCACTTCCTCAGCCTTTGGCACAATGTAAGTACAAAGCTGTAGCTTTTTTCCAATTATGATTTACTTTACAAAGCATTTCACATAATTTGGTTAACACTGATTATGGGGCAAAACGAAAAACCATGTTCTGCTCTAATTTGAATACCTATTTAGATTCTTAAACACCTTATAGTTGGATTCCAGTTTGTAGTTTTGAAAAATACATAAAATTATACATTATAAATATATATTATATATGGTCTACATAAAATTGAACTTGACCTAGAAGGGGAAGGACAACTTGTTAATTCTTCTTTGTTAGGCACGGCCTTTCTCTTGCTTGATTAACTGAATCCTTTCTAAACAGATTCCAAAAATATATTTCATAATGTATCAAATTTAATATACTCCTAAAACATACTCAATATGAAAAAGTACTTAGTGACTATATTTTTCGTATCTCACTACTATATAAAAATACGGCTTTCTCACATTCTGTTTTGTTTTGTTTTGTTTTCCTTTTTATACATGTGTTTCTTAGGCATTGAAGGGCTGTCCTGTTAAAAGGCTATGGCAAAAGAATAGTAACCTCCTTATGCACATTCTAGAACATTCTACAGAATCTCATTGCTTACTATATCTCATTGCTTAATATATAAGTGAAGTGATTAAAAAAATTGTTCCTTCTGTTTTTTCTCTGTGAATATATATGATTATCATACACAATCTGTTACAGAATATACAATAATCAAAACTGAAGACACATAAATACAATGAAGCAATACCAAAGCAAGAGTTTTATCTTACACAGAGCCAAGGTGGGTTGTTTTTAGACTGGTTACTGTCATCCGTTTTGGTTCTGGTTTTTTCCTAAGGCTGGCTATGCAACAGGACCGGATTGTAAATGGCGAGGGGAAGAGGGCTCTACATCTTTAAGTGAATGGAGCTTCTCTTGTGTTGCTTTTTAAATGTGTAAAAGAAGAAAAATAAGCAAGTGTCCGATTGTCCAACATCCACTTTTCCCCCCATTGACTGGAAGAAGGATGTTGGGGACAGTGAGGGCTCAAGCCTGGGCGTGGGTTCATACCAGCGTTTCAGGGAGGGCGTCGGGGTTGTCGGTTGATAAAAGCTCCCAGATTTGCCACCGCTCTCTCTGCCAGTCGAGCCAGCTGGGGTCACCCAATTTCTTACTGTTCTGATCGCTGGCTCGGGCAGAGTAGCCACTACTCAGTTTTTGCTGTGTGGCCTGATGCTCCTGCTCGGATGCTTGGCTTCCCTCTTCCAAGGCTGTTCCGGAGCCTTCCTCTGGCTGCTGACGCCTCCACAAGAGGGGCTCCGCAGGCTGTTGGGAGGATGCTAAGGCTTGCTTCCCGGGACCAGGATAAGGAGGGGGAGGCCTCTTGTCGGGCCTTCCACTCTCCCGTGGTCTCTGGTACAGAGGTTTGGCTCGGGTCTGCAGCCACACCACGTCCAGCTCGCTGTCGCTCAGGTCTTCGGCACTGCTCAGAGTCAAAGACTGCTCAGACCGGGATGTGGACTGCTCCGATCGCCGGCTGCTGCCCTGGGCGTGGGGCGTGCTGCAGACGCGAGATACAGGCGGGTGGGCCCGGCACTCCGCGATGGTGGCCGTGGTCTGAGTCCTCCGGATGACCTGCGTGCCACTGTCCAGCTCTGTGGGGCTACCCTGCCACCGAGACCAATTCGGGGACAGGTTCCCTTGAGAAAGGGAATACAGCCCGGGTCGGAGGGAGCTACTTTCAAAAATGTCTCCATGGGAACCTGGAAGCCAGAGAGAGAGACAGGAAATGGAATTAATGTCAAATCTTTATTGGGTTTTCCTGTTATATCCTTCCGCTGCCAACTTCTAAAACTGAGAAAGCACATACACTCTTAGCTGCCTCTGTCTAAAGGAAAAACAAAACAAAACCCAGTTGCGGTTGAGTCGACTCCAACTCATGGCGACCCCACGTGTGTCAGAGTAGAACTGTACTGCATGAGGTTTTCAATGGCTGATTTTTCAGAAGTGGATTGCCAGGCCTTTCTTCTGAGGTGCCTCTGGGTAGACTCAAAGTCCAATGTTTCATTTAGCAGACGAGCACATTAACCGACTGGACCACCTAAAGAAAAAAAAAACTTCCTAGTAAAAGAAATGACGAATACTTTTTCCATTATTGGCACAATTTGTGTAGCGGCTCCATGACTCTATCAGGTTAGCTGTCAAACTGGATAAAATAATTCTCGTCACTAATACACGTTTCATGACAGTCCCCCTCTATATGCCTGCGAAAACAATTCTGATGCCAGAAGGTGAAGGACTCATTCCCTTCTCATTCAACGCAATGTGCAATCCATGGGAGATACAAATTCTAATGATTCCATGAGCCTATCATGTCAATGGAGCCCTGGTGGCCCAGTGGTTAAGAGCTCAGGCTGCTAACCAAAGGGTCAGCAGTTCGAATTCACTAGCCGCTGCTCGGAAACCCTATGGGGGTAGCTCTACTCTGTCCTATAGGGTTGCTATGAGTCAGAATTGACTCGACAGCAATGAGTTGATTTTTTTTTTGGGGGGTGGGTATCATGTCAGTAGGAGCCCTGGTTGCACAGTAGTTAAAGTGCTTGACTGCTAACCAAAAGGTCAGTGGTTCAAACCCACCAGCCACTGCTCGGGAGAAAGATACGGCAGTCTGCTTCCATAAAGATTTCGGCCTTGGAAACGCTATGGGGCAGTTCTACTCTGTCCTACAGGGTCACTATCAGTCGGAATCGACTCGATGGTTTTGGTCATCATGTCAATACGAGTTGTAAGAATAAATGAATTGAGTGAGAAATACCCCATTCAATGCCAGAAGTTAATGAGTGTAACAGTCACTGGGTACATTCAATCACCACCATTGTGGGAAAGACGGGCTCATTGTTTACTATATCCTTATCGTTTCAGTTTGGAACAAATTTCCCAGTCTCCCTTGCAGTTAGAAGGCCATGTGAATGAGGTCTGGCTAACAAATGTGGAGAGATGTGATGTGAGCCACTTTTAGGCTTGGTCTAGTAAGTGTGTTCACATTCCTCCTTGCTCTCTTCCTTCTCTCAATATGGAGAAACCACGGAAGACATCAAGGGCCTCAAGGATGATGGAGCCACTGGCTAGGTGGAACCTGGGCCCCTGAATGACTCCGTGGAACAGGGCACAAATTGCCCTCACCCACTCCCACTTCTCACCCCACACGGTCTACACTGGACCGTGATGCGAGAGAGAGATCAACTTGTAATAAGTCAAGCCTACCATCCACGGCCTACAGAATACAAGCTAGTGCATTCTCTATGAAAGGTGTTATGGATTGAATTACGTCCCCCCAAAAGAAATGTGGAAGTCCTAACCCCTGTATCTGTAAATATGGCCTTGTTTGGAAATAAGGGTTTGCTCGTTATGTAAATGAGGCCATACGGGAGTAGGGTGCGTCCCAAACCTAATCCCTTCTGAGCGGTTTCTTATAAAAAGAACAGAATAGACAGAAAGACACACACACCAGGGGAAGAGACCACATGAGGAACCACCTACAAGACAAGAAAAGCCAAGGAGCACCTGGGGGTATGGACAAAGAGGGACCCTCCCCTAGAGCTGATACCCTGATTCGGTCGTCTAGCCTCCGAAACTGTGAGATGATAAATTTCTGTTCGTTAAAGCCACTCACTTGTGGTATTTTTGTTACAGCAGCGCTAGCTAACTAAGACAGAAGGCGATGTGACTACACCTCTGACTTCTTGAAAAGGTTCATGATCTTTGACCCACTTTCCTATTCTGAGTTTATCACCTTTGACTTACTTTCCAAAATTTAGGGAATCCGTTAGTAATTGGAAGTACAAAGACATTGACCTACAAAGGTTCCCGAGAGCGTAAGTTATCACAACAGAAACAAAAGAGTGAAACAACTTCATTGTCAAGGCATTGGATTGTAAACTAGAATCTGCGCTGCTGAAGTACTACATGGCCATTAAAAATTATAATAGAAAAGAAGTTAACACAAACTAAAGCTGCATAGACAGACTGATTCTAAGTATGTTTACAAATCAGGGCCTTGGCTCTAGGGCAGGGGCCTTCCTTCTCGGTAGCCCTGGGCATTCCTTGGCATTCCTTGGCTTGCAGATGGCTCCTCAGATGGTCTCTTCCCCTTGTGTGTGTGTGTGTGTGTGTGTGTGTGTCTGTGTCTATTCTGCTCTTTTTATAAGGAAACGGAATGAAGACAGGCAAAGATTGACAGTACTAGGCTGGAAAGCCTAAGGGTATTGTAATATCCCACCCCACCCCCAATTTTTAGCATTTTCCAAATATTATTTGGCCAACGTGTATTATGCTGCTAACACAGCAAACATTAAACGAACATTAAAAAGCCTATGCAAACCATCTTTAAAAAATGATACTTCACCTGTCATTCCTGGGTCTTTGGATCCACTTTTCAATGTTGAATGCCAAGTTCCCCAGATATTGAAAGGTTCCTCCGACATATCTAGGAAAAAGTGGAACACAAAACTAAAGTTCAAGGACAAAAATCAATAAACAAACGTTTGTAGAACATCACCTCTGTGTAAAGCAGTGTATCTGAGATTGTGTCGGATAAAAACAACACTATACGATTCAGCTCCGCCTTTCAGGAGCTTTATTTCACTTGGGACTTACAAAAAGGCTCTGTGCATATCATGGCTGTGCGAGGCAGAATAATGGCCCCCAAAGATGTCCACGTCCTAATCCCTGCAACAGCCTTCTAGGCTCTAACCACAGAGGAACAACGGATACAGTTTCTATACCGCCCTCAGGAATACTCTGCTTGTAGTGTCAACAGATTCATTGCTGCGTACAGGCATTCATTCGTAAATCCCCTTTGCCTGTCCACGATATTTAAAGAGTAATGCCCTGTAGGAGCCTTTCCCACTATCTCATCAAACTCTCACTACAATCCCTGGGTGGTGCAAATAGTTAAAACGCTCGCCGCTAACAGCGTTTTTCAGAAGTAGATTGCCAGGTCTTTCTTCTGAGGCACCTCTGGGTAGACACTAACTGCTAACCTTCTGGTTAGCAGCCAAGTGAGTTAACCATTTGCACCACCCATGGACTCCTGTGCTTGGTCAGCTTCCTAGATATCTGAGAATAAATGCACGGACTGCAAGGGTCCCCCAAGACAGCCACTGGGTTCACCATACCTTCTTCTCTCTGGAGCAGGCGTTCAGTAGATACTCAATAAATACGCGCTGAATTACAGCGAAATAAAAAGTAAGTGAGGAAGAGAAGGCTCAAGGCACCCCATGCCATCCCACATACAATAAGAGGTGAATCCCTGGATTTGCCCAGCGTCGGCTCCAGTTACCTTTCCCAAGTCTCGGTCCTGGAGAACTTTCTCTTGACTTCGATGGCAAGTGGCCCACCAACGTGTACTGCTCCGGCACTTTGTAGAGCTTCTCCGAGCCCCCCGGCGCCGCGTCCTCTTGCATAGCCAGCAGGGAGCGCTCGGACAGCACTGGGGAGTTGTTGTCATAAGGGGAGATGTCTCCGCTGGAGGCCTTGTTGGAGTCTGTGGATGAGTGCCTCTCTCCCATGGCAAAGGAAACTTCCGACTGCAGCATGTCAGGGCTTCTGGTGCAAGGAGACAATGGCAGGAGCATGAGTAACCATTAGTGACCAGGTTCAAACAATGCAACCATTACACAAACAACAGGAGAACGCATGGACACAGGAGCTGAAACCAAAAGATCTTTTGAGCACTATTCCAAGACTTCTACATGAAGAAGGTGAAAGCGTTTCCACATAATGGCCAGAAGATGGCAGTAAAACTTCACAGATGTTATGGGAAACAGCAGCAGGGGAAGGGAGGGCTGAGACGGGAGAGGATGAAACAGAGATGGAACCCTGCAGTATTCAACACGTGTCGCTGAAATAGTGGACGGATTAGTTCCTGGGTCCATTTCAAAATTAATGTCTGATGGTGCTCAAAGCAAGGAAAAGCTGGGAGCGAAATCTTTTACATTCTTCTATATTCTAAATTTAAAATAATTCACATAAAACTACAATAGAAACTTTACTTGAGGTCCATTATGGCTTTTTAGACAACTCCCCCCCACCCCCCAAAATACTTAATGTAATAAATCCATCCTTTGAGTGACGATGGTGCTACTGTGGGAATAATTACTTCAATATATAAAATACTGACCCAAAAGACCAATATATGCCCATCACTAGAGGCCACTGAAGGAGCCCTGGTGGCGAAATGGTTAAGTGCTTGGCTGCTAGCGGAAAGCTTGGCAGTTCAAACCCACCCAGCAGTGCCAAGGAAGAAGGGCCTGGTGATCTGCTTCCCTAAAAATTACAGCCAAGAAAACTCTATGGGGCCATTCTACTCCGTCACATGGGGTCGCTATGAGTCAAAATCGACTCGATGGCAGAGGCCATTGTATTTAAATTCATCTAAAATGATTCTACAAAGCACCGGTGCTTTTACAAGTGGATATGATAAGACACACTAACTGGCATATCAGTTACGTTTTATACGCATGTGAGTTGTCACAGCAACAGAAATCACAGTGAAAATGTAAGTGGGATAGGGAAACAAGAGCGTCAGGAACATGGAAAGAGCGCGTGAAGTCTTACCTTGAAACATCTTTCTGTTCTACTTTCCTCAAAAACAGTGGCCCTGACAACATCTTAAAGGGAAACGATCACAGGTTGATTAAAACATCCAGAACCTGCTTCTGCCTCTCCCCTTAGTTGATTGCCCTTTTCTGGTCTTTTCTTTCTTTTGGTTTGATTTTTCAAGACAAATCTTTTGTGTTCTTGACGAAGGCAAAGCCACGCCTGAGCAAGCCTGGCCTTAGCCAAATGGTTTGGTGCACTCACCACAGGGGGATCCATCTTCACCTGGGTTTCCGGCAGGGGTTCGGGCCCAGGGAAAACTATCAGAGCGTCTGTGATAGGCCTTACCTGTCACTGAGGCAGCGGGGCTCGGGGACTTTCTCCTGAGGACATTTCCTGCCCACACGGAGTGAGTAAGCCCTCTCCTTGCCTCATCTCTGAACTGATGTCAGATAATCTTATGGGAAAAAGCCAGGGGACAACCGTGAGAATTATTTTCCAGAACTTTAGGCCTCTGCTGAATTTGAAGGGGGGAACAAAAAACCACTTCTGCAGGAAAGTGGGGGAAAAGTCTTTAACCACCACAGCTAATTAAAAGAGACACAGCCTCATTAATTCTAGCTGTGAGACAACAACAAATCTCGTCTATCATCATGAGGTAAGGTGCTGGCTGAAGACACTTTACTACGAACCTGAGAAAATCGAACGGGTTGAACTGCTAGCTACTGTGGAGCTCAGCTCACAACAGGGCTTCTAGTTTCTGACCAGGACTAGGAATTATATTAGTAGATTAAAGTCATTTGTTTTCCCTGGTAAATTGACATGTTTCCGGTAATTAACAAAAAAGTCTACGTCTGCTCAGCAAGAAGAAGTCGTTGGTTTTACATTAATAACAGTGGGTATGTAAAGCCTTATTTTGTGGGATGTTTGCAAGAGAGTCAACTCATTAACCAAAACAAAGCAACCATCAAGGCTACGAATGTTTCTTGCCCCCTCGGATTGGAGTAAAGTTCTTGGAAGGTCAGTTTTAGCTCAAAGGGGGCCCAATAGCTCTGTTCCAGGTCTTGCTTCTCTGTCTTACAAAACATACGGAATAGAGCACTTTACAGAAACTGTCAGAAGTCGAGGATTCAGCCAGGAGTTACGTGCATAAAGAGGGCTACCCCGGTGAAGGAAATTTCTTGTAAATCTCAGTCCTGGGGATATTTGGATTACTACTGAGCAAGTAGATTATTTTTAACCTATGGAACCATGAATCATGAGATAAATAATGCATCTCTCTTTGCAATGACTGCCAAAAGGCTCCGAGTCATTGGAGCTCAACTCCAGTTGGTATACTGGAGCTGGCGGGACACCTACGTGTGTTGTACCTTCCGACTTCATCTTATCGCTCTTTCTGTTATTTTCTTTTCCCCAGCCTCTCAACTTACTTACTATAATTGTTCGACTTTGCATATTTTTGCAAGCTTCTTCAAAAAAGTGTTTTTGACTGATGGGCTGTACAGACAGGGAGATCACACCTACATTAATGGGGGGGGGAGTTGGAAAGGCAGCATGCTTCATGAGAGCATTTACTCTCATTAAAACAACACAACACAACACAATTGTAACAATAACAAAAATAACTGAAGCTGCGCACAGCTTCTGGTTTCTCCTCCATTTTCCCCCTCCATCTTTGTATCCATGATTGGGCGTATGAGAAGTGAGAGATGGGCTGCTGGGAAGCCACCTCACCTTTCCTCTGTTCTATAGGTTGACTATGGAAAATCTTAGTGGTTCTCAAAGCGGGCCCTGGAGTGGCAGTATCTGCATCACCTGGGAACTTCTTAGGGATGTAAATTCTTGGGCCCCACCCTAGAACTACTGACAAGACCAGCTATATAATTTGCAGGGCCCAGAGCAAAATGAATATGAAGTGCCCCTTGTTCGAAAATTCCCAAGAATTTCAAGACGGCGGCAGCAGAGCATAAAACCAAGCACGGGGTTCTTCTGAGAGTAGGGGCCCTGTGCCACTGTGCAGGTCATTGTAACAAGCCCTCCAGGTGATTGTGATGGACAGGGAAGTTGGAGAACCATTGACAACCCAACTACCCCTCCCCTCTCAATCTGTAGCTGTGATAATGTGCTATGGGTCTGCTAAGCTACAAATGAAGAAGGATACCATGGATGGTGGCTAAAGCTGCAGGGCTGGCAGTGAGGTGAATGTGGTGGTCTATAGGAGGAGAGAGGCCCTGGGCTCTCAGGTGCTGGGGCCATAGCTGGGCAAAGAAGGAGGGTGTGCCCATCCCAGCCGGCACCTGGTCTTCCTCTCTCTGCAGTGGGCATGATCCAGATAACTGAAAGCTTGTGGATCAGAACATGTTAAGGTGAGAGGGGGGCAGGAGAGGCCAACTCACCTTTCTCTGCTCTTCTGGTTCATTCTCCTAAGTCAAACCACTAAAGTGAACTAAAGGGCTCCAATCAGAGGAGAACTGGGGGAAGGTGGCTGCAGCTGACCCTGGTGGTAGAGGTGTCTCTCGGTGGGCACAGCCCATACTTTGGGGGCAGCTGGGGTCACAGCCAGGAACATAAATAAGGCAGAGGGGGGTATCTACTGAGAGCTGATCCTCTCTCAGCCACCCAGCATGTCTTGGTCATGGAAGGTGATACAGTTTGAGTACACATGGCAAGCAGCTTTGTGAACTCCACTTACGTGTAACAATCCCTTGGCCTGTGAGAACAGTAAAAGTTAACATTTATACAGAGTTCATTATGTGCCAGGCAGAAATTTCCAGAGTTCTACATACAGAACTATTGGGGCTTTTCAGAGCACATTTGTCTCCCAGTGGGGACTAGATGCCCAGACATTGTGAACACCTTCGTTACATATCTACGTTTCATTTGTCTGCCTATTTTCCACCTCTGAGTCTTTCTACTCTGTCCCAAAGTTTCTGGGATAGTCCTAATTTCATGGAAATGATTGTTTCCAATAAGGGAAATTTGGTAAATGTATAAAGAAATTAGATAATATCTATAATGCTCTGAAAGATTTGTCATATTAAAAAAAATCATAAATCAGAAAATAAGTCCTCATGATTTAGAATAAACCCAGGCAGAGCGCAGTGGAAATGTGGGAGGTAAAGACACAGGAGAGAAAATTTCCCTGAGTCTGCAAGCTGGAGGGGAAAAAAAAGAGAGAAAAAATAGGAGACTCTTCCCTCTAGGCTGCAACTGCCAGGCTCAGGGTCCCCTGAGGGTGGTTACAATCCACTACTATAAGTCCACTTTGGGATCCCCCCTAAATGGGCATTACCATCATACAGACCAGCTCCAAATTAGTGCGCTCTCCAATTTCTGGACATCAGTGAGAAAATGAGCCCAGGAAGTAGGTTATTAGTGATTTTCCACAGGGCGCTCAGTGTCAAATCTAGAAAAAGGGGTGCCCCTTCGGATATCTCTGAAAAACGAGCCACATGGCCACCAACATCTTCTCTAAGACCTGCCCAACTGCAAGAAGACAGCTTTGAGCTCAGAGCCCCAAGTAAACACATCAAAACATTCATGTATTTCATTATAGAAAATATTTACTTCAATCAGTGATTCTCTAGGTGAGGAAGAGTCTAGAAACACACAGTGGTCTCTCTTTCTTCTAAGTCTCAGGGCTTAATGGATCGAGGTTGGGAGTGTTGGGTGGATGGGTTGCCCATTGACATGGGTTTGCCTCCATGCACGGTGGGTTTCCTCATGAGATCTGAAAGCCCCAGGCCCACCCACACCACGCGTGGGTGGTTTCAGCTAACCAAACAGGCCTGGGATGAGCATGGAGACTGAGTCACGTTCTCACCCTTAGCGTGGTCCCTCCAGGTCAGGGTGTAAACGCGCTGGCCGGGTGCTGTGGGCAGGCCTGCCCTGCAGCCGGAAGCACAGAACTTGTTCTGTGGATAAATGGAAAACTCCAGTTCAATCGCTGAGCTGCCCCAGCGAGCAATACCCGTGGAGATGTCAAACATGTGCTGGCTGCATCCTTG